ACATTAAAGGATGATTTACTGTCTTTTACACAAGAAAGATATATTAGCGATGGAACTTATCAGCCTCAGATAACGTGAAGCCCCTTCCAGACTCTCAGCTAAACCCTAATGCAGACATCTTCAGTCCTGTCAGAAGTCACATTCCAGACATGAGTGTCATCAATAGGGGTTATCTAGTACGAAGGAATCCGTAGGAATTCGATGGGAAAGTACCATGGAAAGCATATAGAGCACAATTTGAGCTACTGGCAGAAATGAATGTATGGACAAGGAGCAGAAGACAGTGAAACTGGCAACGTGCCTGAAGGGACAACCACTGGAAATACTTGAACAGTTGTCAGCAGACGACAGGTGCAACTATAGAGCACTGGTAGCTGCTGCAGGACTCAGGTGTGGAACTCAAAATCAGTCTGAAGTCTACAGGGCTAGATTTAGGACGAGAGTCCATGCTAAAAGGCAGAGCCTACAAGAACTGTCACAGGATTTGGAAAGTATGGCACACAAGTTCTACCCAACTGCACCACCAGAAGTCGTCAAGCTGTTGTTGAGGGATCAGTTTGTAGATGCCTTGGACAATCCACAACTGAAGATACAAGTAAAGCAAGCACACCCCTCTCTATGTAGAATGCAATGGCCAGAGCTCTTGAATTCGAATCCTATGTTACGTTCAGCACAGAGGTACGAATGTTGGTACAGTCATCAGGATTCAAGGCCAGAAAAGGGCAGCTTTCCGAGAGGTTTGAGGACTTTTCTGACACTATAACGAACCTGAGTACAAGAGAGCTCAATGCCGGCAACTTCAACACAGGGAAGATGCTACAGCAGGAAAAGCTGCTACCCAGAAAAGTTGTTGGAACTGTGGAGAGCAAGGACATATGAGGAGCCAGCGTAAGAAGAATACTACCAATAAGTCAGCCTCGGGGAAACCAGTAGTTGCTCGTGTTGAGGGACGCCTACCAACCCTCACCATGAAAGTTCCAACAGCTGGGTGTAAAATGCTAAGCACACATATTGTCTACTGACAGGAAAGCTGGATGGCCAAAAGTGCAACATTGTCATAGATTCTGCACCTCAGCAAACCCTTGTGAGTATCAAGCTGCTAGATCACAAAGGAGTACCAGAAGCCATACAGAAGTTTTGTGGTGTGACAGGACATTATGCAAGGTTTTGGGGACCAGTGTGGGTAACTATTGAGCTCATGGGCATGAAGAACAGACACAAAGTATACTTGGCTGACATTGAAGACCAGTGCATATCAGGGTTGGACTACTTACTACCTAGGAAGTGGGTAATTAATTTTGTTCAAATGACGTTTGAGAACAACAAAAAATATATGTGATAGTAATGTCGTAGTTTAATAGGTCATCAAAAAATGCGTTAATTACAAAGAAGTTTTTAAAACAGAAACGAGAAGAGTATGTGAGTAATTTACATGAAATTGAAAAGTAATGTGTATATATCCTTGTGGGCTAAGTCTACTCATTTACACCGCTAAAATCAGGGTTTCTAATCACCTTGACCGACGCAACACATAACTCGATGTGGCTTTGCTATAAAAAAACACAACACACACACACACACATTTATATATCTATATATATATATATATTAACACAAAGAACAAACACATATATAAACACAACACACTCACATATATATATATAGAGAGAGAAACACACACACACACATATATATACAGGAACATTGAAAGCCAGCAGGGGCTCTGGGACAAACATCCTCGCCGTTTTGACCTCACGGTATAAGCGTAGAAACGTTAATAAAGTAACAACAAATATCTATTAAATCTGTGAAGTAACAAATACGTATTAATTATCACTGGCAAACAGTTATACTGAGGGAGTTACCCGGAAGTTGTGCTGCGTCAATCCCGTGATAATCTAACAGGAGGACATCTCGGAGTTAAGAAGACTGAGTCACCTACGGCAAAGATTTTACTGGATAGGTATGAGGCAAGATGTAGAAGAATGGTGCAGGACCTGCAGTACATGTTGTGCTAAAAGGGGACCAAAACATACGTGACGTGCCCCAATGAAGTTATATGAAGTTGGTGCACCAAATAAACAAGTAGCCATTCACATTGCTGGACCTTTGCACCAAACTCGTCCTTGAAACAGGTACATTTGTGTGGTGATGGATTATCTCACCAAGTAGCCTGATGCATATGCAATACCAAATCGGGAAGCTACAACTGTAGCTTTAGCTATTAGTGATTTCTTCTTCAGGTTTGGTATGCCATACGAACTGCATTCAGATCAAGGCCGTAACTTTGAATCAGCTGTGTTCCATGAATGCTGCAAGTTGTTTGGCATACGAAAGACCAGGACAACGCCACTTCACTCACAGTCTGATGGGATGGTAGACAAGTACAATTGGACACTGGGACAGGAATTGGTAAAGATTTGTAATAGCCGCCAAGATGACTGGAATGTCTTACTCCTCCAGTGTTAATGACCTGTAGAACAACAGAGCATGAAGCCACTGGATACACTCCAGCAAAGATGATGTTTGGTCGGGAACTTCGGTTGCCGGTGGATCTGTTAACAGGACGCCCACCTTACGAAGAGTTGCCTGAAAATGTGTCAGTGAAAGTGAAAGTGTTATCGGAAAGGATGAATGATATTCACCATCAAGTGCGTTCAAACTTAAAAACGTCTGCTGATTCGATGAAGTTATCTTATGTTAAGAGATCTACTGAAGTTAGTTTTGTACCAGAAGATCAGGTGTGGTTGTATAATCCCAGGAAGACCAAAGGAAAGTCTCCTAAGTTGTCATCTCCATATGACATAGTGGATCGTCTCTCAGACGTGACTTTCCGAATAAAATGTGGTCGGCGAGGTAAGCCAAAAGTGGCGCATGCCAACAGGCTTTGGCGTTATCACGGTCCAGGACAATTTAGTTGGAACAAAGTGAACAACGGAACAAATGACGCTGCTGAAGACATGTCACCTGAAAAAGCCACTGTCTAAGAAGAAACTGTACCCGGTTTTGAGAAGGAAAACAGTGAAGCCGTTAATGAAGTTACTACCACTGATGTGACTGTTACCGACAATGGTACAGTTCCTGACGAAGCAGATGAACCACAAGTGAAGCAGAAGCCAATGAGACAGACACCAGTACGGAAGAAGATACGTCCTGTAAAATTAAGAGACTTTGTTGTATTTTAATTTTGTGTTTGTAAACTCTGTACATTTAATCAGGTTATTGTTAATTATCTATTGGTTTAATGTAAGTGGTTATTGTTCGGAATGAACAATACTAAGGAAGGGGCAGTGTTACGACAGCGGAAGTCAAGCGACGCTGGGAGCATGCGCGCTGGAATTTCTAGAAGGATCGAGGAACTCCGCGAATATCCGAGTGTTTGCCAGTCGCTCTCTTTTTAGTATATAAGCCCGGCAAATAAAGTCAGCGAAAGATAGATATGCAGATAGATTGAAGAGATAGATAATTGAGTCAAGCGAACAGTAGGCACCGTAAGCAAAGTGTGTGGATCACTGT